CTGGATTTTTGACTTGATCGATGAGGTTTCGCCCATCAACTGGACCACCTACTTTTTTTGTGAAGGATGTTAGGCTTGTTTCCAAACTTTGTAATATACATAGTTAGGTCGGGTGACACTCCTATAAAAAAATATATATATAATAATTATTTATTTATTTATTTTTAATACTTTTTTTCAAAGTCCGATTGAGCGAGTGATCACCTGTCACTGTGTGTGCAACTATCGACACGTTGATGACAATTTTCGTCAATTGAAATCATTATTGCAATCATCGACAAATGCAAGAGTAAACTTGCAATTATGTGGCTTTGATTTTTTGTTATCGTTCATTATGATTGAGCGTCATAGCTTCTAACTTCGCTCTGTTACAATTTGGTTATATTAAGTTGGGTTAGTGATATCTCTTTTTTTTTTTTTCCTCCAATCTATTTGTGAGGAGGTTCACGTGCTGATAAGGTTTTGATGGTTTTTAAGGAAGAAAAGTGTCTTGAGTGCTCCCACAGAAGACGTCGCCGCCTATGTTGGGAAAGTCATGGGGGAAAGTTGGAGAGCCCAATCATATTAGGCCTGCAAAAAGAAAAAAAATGGTTAAGATAAAATTTATAATATATACAGCGAATAAGAAGAACATATCCGTTATACAAATTCTCTTATAAACCATGATTTTTCAAATTCAATGGATCAAAATGAGAGAGATTAATAAAATAAATTTACTACATCACAATATATGTTTGTCTATATTATGATATGTTAGGTTTTATTGATTGCATACTATAGAGAGTATATAGATAAACATAGAAGCAAATGCATCCTCTTCCTTAAAGCATTATTGGTTGCGGGCAGGGGGTCCATGACGCGTTGCGCTCCGGAGTCGAGTTCAAGTTTTGGCGAGGCACGGTGGATGAAGGCGATCGAGGTCGGGGGAGAATGCAGTGGGGCAAGTGTATTGAAATGTTCACAACGCGCTATTAAATGAGAGAGAGCGCCCCGGGGGTAGGCCACACGGTAGGCGTCGTCGATGTGCAATTTAGACGACAAGGGTCCTCCGATATACGTGTTGTTGTTGTTGTTGTTGTTTTTTAATTTTATTTTTTTCAGGCTTCGTTTTATATGAACGTTCTTTTCTTTTTTTGTACGTATTTGCTCGTCGTTTTGTATTCCTTTTTTTTTTTATAGGTTTTTTCTTTTTTTTTTTCCCTTTTTTGGTGAGTGTCATTTCGTGCCCTCGTTTTCACTTTCCTTTTTTCATTTTTGTGTGTTGTTTTGTGCTACCCTTTCCCTTTTGTTTTTTGTTATTTTTGTGTGTTTTTTTTTCGTTTTTTTTTTTTACCCTGGGCGGGTCTAGTTGGGTTTCCCTCCATAAAAGGCGGCATGCCGACATGCACCGATGCACATCTGCCCGCACTCATCCTCTGATTCCTTTTTTTTTAAGTCTGTCCGAGTTTATGCGAGTGGTCAATGTGAGGTTACCTACAACATTTGTTATTTTTATGGGCGTAGCCCACACCGCTCGCACAGCGGACGCTTAACTAGTATAACTTTTAGATAAAAATATATATATTTTTTTTAATATAAATCTAAATAAAACAAAAAAATATATTCAGTATATTATATAAAATTATACTAAAATTTAAACAACAGAAATGTGCAACAAATAAAAATTAAATGGGCTATCTAAGATTTGAACTAGAGTCCTTGGCCGTGAAGTAAGTACTCGTGACAACTCCTTGATTGATTGTCATAAAACCAAATGTTATTAAAGCTCCAATTATAGCTTGTAAATGCTTATGAATGAGAATACCAACGACACCCTTAGTCCCATTAGCAGGGGTCCACAACTCTCACGATGAGCCTAAGACTATTATTTTCTCCTCGTTCAATTTGGTCTCATGTTGTAAGGAAATTTGAACGTTGTATCTATGGAGTTAAGGCTTAAATCCCGACCCCTTATACCTCATAGCGGTGTCACATAACCTTCACATATTATAGGTTTCTATCCTACGGTTGTCTATTAGAGGTCGTTGTGTCCGACACCTTTTGGATCCGTTTGTTGCAGATATGTATGCTTGTCCCCGTATTCCATTTTTGGTTTTAAACACCATTCGACAAGATTGGTTGTTCTTTGATTGTGGAGTGAAAAGAGATTGTCCCATGTGGAGGTAGCCAAGCGATGATCTGGCTGAACCATTAACTAATGAGAAAAAAAAGTATTAATTTTTTTTTCTCCATATGCTAGACCGGTCTGCCAATTATTACGACTCTTGTATCTTGTTTCATCCTTGTACCCGGTATCAATGATGTGACTATCTATCCTTCCGGACTTTGAGAGCTTTTAGAACTTGCAAGCGGTGTTTGTGAATATTTTGTTACCATATCATGTTTTATTCATTCTTCTCTACACGTACCTTTGCCCTGTTGTTTATCCGTGTCTATTTTGACTTGCTTCAATGGAGAGTGTCCTCTTTAACATATTTGGGAGGACGAACGTGCTTCTTTCTGACGGGGCTGAAAACTTGGCGTGTCACGCTTGTATGAGACCAATGCATTTCCCCTTGCAACTAGTTATATGTTGAAACCTTAATCTTTGTGATCTGACACTCTTCGATTGAAGCCTTATTCGATGGAACTGTATGAAACTTTGAGATTAGGTCCAAACCCAGAAGTTGGAACTTGGTTTCTGCCATCTTCGAAATCGGTGTTATGGCCTTTTTGTTGCAGAATGCCTCATCGAAGATCCATTTGTGCAACATATTTATGTTGTGTAACCCACTGAATACCTCGAAATTTGAGAGAAAAGTGGATTCGGTCTTGGATAAAAATCCTGCTATCGACCCAAATTATGATCCTGACCGTTTTTCAATTTCACCTTGATATCTGTTTCTGATGAGTGGCGTGATAATTGTGAGTTGCTACGAACAAGGTTTCGACCTTGGATTTCCTGCACATGAAGGCATTGATGGGGATTTGGTGGACTAGCGAAGTACCTTTGGGATTCATCTCCGTAGAAGTTCATACAACGACTCTCTAGTTATTGTCCGACCTCCTCCAATCGCCTTGTCTCCTTGCAGGGCTTCGAGTATAGTCCTCGTCTTCATGAAAAAAAAACCTGCATTGTCTGCACCATGTGGTTGACGAGCATATCATTTTTAACTCTCTCGTATCCCTGTTATCGGTTTTCACTCTGATCCGATCGACCATCCTATTTCTTAATAGTGAACCAATACCATATTTTAAGTTCATTCATTCCGGTTGTCTGCGGACCCTTATGAATGGGTATTCCTTGGTTATGAAACCAACCACTCTCCCGATGACTCCTTTAGTATACACCACTGCATCCAATGGAACTTGCAATGCCATGATCCAAAAAAGGTTCCCCAACTCAACTCGTCTAAACTCTCTGCATCCACCGCCTGAAACTCATTGAGTAGAAAATGCCAAAGCGTGACCTAGTTCTCTCTCTTATTGGTGAGCCATGCAAAGATTGTTTGATTCCTAGCTATGTATGTAAGAACATTCGGACGTTCAAAACAGATAGTTCCTCATTGAATCGGATCTTCAAAGATTCTATCACGTGCCCAACCATTCTCATAGCCACATATGAGATCCGCCTTTACCTTGTGTGGTAAATCTTCTGCAGCATCCTTGAATACTACGACTATAGTCCGCTCTTTGAGCAATGCCACCTTCACCCGATCGAAGTCTGGGCCGACCTTGAATGTTGCTTCTCTCCCGATGATCTCCACTCCATCACATGATATATCTTCCGAAATATTGCCCTCTTCGTAGCATCGTGCAATTAACTCTCTCACCCTGTCCTCTGCCATGTCTGCATCAGACACTCGTGGTGGTGATCTTGTGCTAGTCTGAGCTGGTTTTCCATGACAACTTCCGATTGTAGACGTTCCTCCATTCTGGCTTGATTCTAGTTGTGAAGGCCACCTGTTCCATATCCGTTGTGGTAAAAACCTACTTCTTGAATATCACGATCGTTTCCTACCGTAACTCTACTATGTGCTTATTGCAGCCGATGCTGTACGATAACGGAGTAATGCTCTTCAACCGCCCCATTTTTATTTTATTTATTTATTATTATTATCATTATTATTATTTTTCTTAAACCACCAGTACTTGGCCCGGCTATCGGTCGAGGAAAAAATAGAGTAGAAACATGTCTAGTTGGATGAATTTGGGCGCTCTTGTAGTCGCCCGTACGTTTCCTAAAATCGCGTAGCGTTAACGGGCACGACTTTAGGAAGTACTGGTGGTTTAACGCCGAGGTTGTTGTAGAGGCAGGGTATCAGGTGCGGGAATACTCTCCTTATGGGTTCAGTCACTCGAAGTTCTGAATGACCCACTCGGCCCTCTGAACCTTCCTAGAAGAAGTCCTCTATGGGCTTAGAGCCCTAAGTCCTATTGCAAGTCGTGTCCCTGCCACACCTACAGCTTGCCACCAAGAGATCGGATTCTGCCCCTACAGATCCAACCTCCAACTGGGCGCACTCTAAGGAGCTTTGTCCCCCAACCATTGACTTTTCACCCGATGCTTGTTTACAACTATCCATATTAAACCACGTCGAACTTTTCCTAACTGCCAACTCCCTCGTGACTACCTAGCTATAGCTACCCCGGCCGTGGAGTTACCACGTTACCACGCTGAGGCGGGCAGTGAAGGCGAAGTCCAGTTACCGTACGCCTGCATCGCGCAGGCACCGTACGGAGTTAGGCCACTGGTACTACCGCACAGTGGCGCGGGCGCGGCCGTGATCGCTAACGCAGGGCCGATCAACCGAGGCCCCAACCCCATTCACGAGACCTTTTGCTTATGCTAGGATGCTAATAGGCAGCGTGTTGCATTTCCTCTTTTAGGTGGATTTTATTCGAAGGCTCACACTACTGGCCTCGAGCCCGCGCCCTCCCGGACTCTTTCAGTGGTAATCGCAGCTGCACCCCCTGCAGTGCGGGAGCTCTATGGTAGTACTGGCGGGTCGTCGAATAGGCGCGGCGGGCATGTTGTTGATTTGCACGTTTGCACGTGCTGTCAATTTGCGCCTAATAAAATTGGTACGATTCGGAAAAGAAAAAGATGACCATGGCCCTGAAAAAAAAAAAAATTCCCCTCCCCTCCAAAAAGGTTGTGAGCAGAACACAGCGCACAGCGCACAGCTACGTAGTAGCTGCGCTGGCATGGCGGAATGCGGCAGCGGAGAGCGCGAGTTGGAGCTGTGCATGAGTGCCGACGGATGGTGGAAAAGATGGTTGGCCGTTTTCAGGCGGGAAGACCGTTTTGGAAAGGGCGTGCTGGTATGAAACGGCGGGGAGATCTGCGTGCGAACCGCGTCGGAGTCGAAGACACCGGGCTCGTCCTTGATTAGATGGAAGCAGTCGGACAGGAAGCAGGTGCGGTTTATTCTATGTGGAATAATACAGTAATTGGGTGGAGCACTTTCTGGGCTGATTGGGTGTTCTGCATCGCCGACGGCGCACTTTGTACGCCTATCAATTCGTAGCTATCAAATCATTGTCGTCTTTTTTCTCTCTTTTCTTCTCTGACTCCACCCGCTTCCCTTCTCTCCCTGCTCCATATCCAGCGTGCCTTTTGCTACGTGTTTTTTCCTCCTCTCTGTCTCCTTATCTTCCCCCCCCTCCTCCTCTTCCTCTTCCCCCCCCGGCCCCCCGTCTTCAACGCCAACCCCGCTCTAGCCGCCACGTGACCTCGAAGACCGTCTTCCTCTGAATAGAACGCGCGGTGGTCACTATCTCTGCATCTGGACTGGAAGTTGCCTCAACTATAGCTATACAGTTATATTGACCGTACGTGTTCTATTCGGGGAAAGACCTTAGCCTACCTCCCTGCCATCACTTCATGTTCTCTCAGTGTATGTGCTCCCTCATCTGTTGCGACTCTGATCCCGACGTGGTGACAGACACGTCGGGATCTGCTCCTACTACTCTGATCCCGGTCCTAGGTGCCAGTTTTATACTCTTTTAAGAGAACCGAAGATAGGCTTGCCATTAAAAAAAAGCTTAATAGTGCTTGCGCCGCCACGCAGATGGACCCCCCTTCTTTTCCTCGTTATATCCCGATGTGCCCGACGTCCGATTATTATCATAACATTCGGTGTTTGGCACATGGCATGACAGAATAATGAAAACCTCGGATTAAGTCTTCCTCCTCTGTAATACTATGTCGATCTACACGTGTTTGCCACGTGGCATGACAGAAAGCAGTCTCCCCCTCCCCTCCTCCCCCTTCCCCCCTCTTCTCCATCGTCATAATTCCTTTTCTTCTTCCTCGCATCCCAATCCCGACTTGTCTGCCCTATTCCCGTTTGACACATCAACATATTCTTCTTTTTTGTTCTTTTTTTTTTTCTTGTTAATATTAACTTAAAAATGTATTTATATCCTGTGTATGGTCGGCCGCTTAATCATCGTCTTCAAAAAATTGCTCAGCCGCTCCCCTCGCTTAATCATCATCATTGTCGAACAATCACTTAGCCGACCCCCGCGCTTGTCAGACTGCGGTGGTCAGACGGTGCCCAGCCATGCTCGCGTCACGTATCGACTCACACTCTTGTCTTTCCCCGAATAGAACGTACGGTCATTATCGCTGCATCGGGACCGAAAGTTGCCCCAAATGCGGGCATAATGACTTTACGTTCCATTCGTGGGAAGACGGGTAGTACGCGCACAGATATAGACCAAAGACGAAGCCAACTCGGATGTCATAATAAATACTAGTAAATACGTAAAACGGAATGAACTGGGTTTCGAGCTCGTAATCATCGTCTGCAACGAATCCATCCTCAGCCGGGCCCGCGATCTATTAAGTAATGATCACCATTTTCAAATAGTCAATTAGTTGGCCCGGCGCTCGATCATCACCATTTTCAAAGAATCACGTTGCCTCTCGCGAGCTTGATCACTGCAAAGAATAACTCAGCCGGCCCCGCGCGTTGTTAATCATCAAAAAATTTCAAATAATCAATCAGCTGGCCCCGCGCTTAATTATCATCATCACGATCATCATCATCATAAAAAAATCATGAAAGTACCGTGAGTCCTCATCGAACGTTTACCACCCCAGTCCCGACCTCCGATCCGGGTGCTGACGTGGCTTCCGCACGTTGCATGACATAGTCCTGTTTATCTCTCCGTATGTTTTTCTCCCTCACAAGTGGTTAACGGGGCCCCCCACTTTCAGCTCCTGAGTTACGGGCCGAAAACTGAAATTAGGGTTTAAGGGTCAAATTTTATGTTTTATGAGTTGTTTTTGTTTTCCCCCTTGTGTGCCAAATTTGCTCTGCCGAGATTTCTGAAATTTCTGAAGGTTTTTGAAATTGGAATGTTGGCGAAATTTCATGCAAGTGCACTTTTGCCTTGTTGTTTTATAGTTTTTTAAAGTTTTTTTTTATTCTTTTTTTGTTTCAAGTAGTTTGTATGATCTCCCCTCTATGAACTCGTGTCAAGTTTGCTTATAATCACCCCCTTGTTTTTTGTTATAAATGGCATCACAAGTTGTCTGAAAATTGAGGCCTCCCTGTCAATGTTTCTTTGCTTGGATGGTTACCGATGCCCTCGCTATTTTTAATAATTCTCAATTCGTTTTCTTCGGCGTGTTGAGACTTAGCGTGCTATCTGCCCTTACATTCCTCCTCCTCCTCCTCCTCCTCCTTCTCCTCCTCCTAGTTTTATCCTCTTTCTTCTTCTTCTTCTTTTTCTTCTTCTTCTTCTTTTTCTTCGTCTTCTTCTTCTTCAACGCCCTATCACCATATTTGCTAAGAGCACCATGGCACTCAAGGAGCCTTGGCGGAGGCTGTTTGAGTGCATGGTATGCTGGCAGGCTAGAATGTGTAGTAGACGAATGTGCACTTTTTTCTTCTTCTTATGACCATTTCTCGATTTATGAGTGTCCTCCCTGCGCAGGGGCCATGCTAATCTTCATTCTCTGTATCGTTCCAAATTTTAACGGATGTCCCGAAGGACGAATGTACACTATTTCGTAGTTAAGATATTTGGAAAATTGGGATTTGTACATGCTGGGCTCAGAAATTGGGATGTGAATGTGCCAAGCAGGGTTGTAATAAATTGTTTTTTTTTTTTTTTTTTTTTAATAATTTGGACCGTTTCTCGAGTTATGCATGTCATCCTTGAGAGCGCAAGGGCCATGCTAATCTTCTCTATATCGTTCCAATTTTAACCGATGTCCCGGAGGACGGGATGTAATAAATTGTATCTAAGACCTGTAAATTATTTTTCCGTCCTACAATTTGCCGCCCTGCTTGGCACCCACATGGAGAATGAGCCGCCTACTCACACAGTTGATGTAGGTAGTTCCTCCGGTTGGTTTCCCCATATCGTGAAACCCTATAGAGTAGGTGAGCTGCAGTAGAATACCTCGCTCGATCTTTACCCGTTGCTAAGGGGTGAAAGCGGAAACACGGCCGTGGAATAGTTTTTGGTAGGGACTGATTTGACACGAATAGTTTTTGGTAGGGACTGATTTGACACGAATAGTTTTTGGTAGGGACTGATTTGACAAACAGAATCGTGCTGTACTTGGTTAAGTAACACGTCGTCTTCACAGAGAAGGTTGCAAACAACCAGTGCGGTTGGTTGGGATAAAAGTGATGATGCACTGGGGATTTGCTGGGGAAAAGTAAGACTAGGTAGTGTTGTGCGAGTAAAAGACGTGTACGGAGAAAACTAGCAATCAACAGTGACTGCTGGGGATATTTCGGGATGAATGAATTGGAAAAGCGGATCGATCTCGAGCAATTCTGCCGCCTTTGGAAAATGAAATGTTATGATGATTAGTCAAATGGCTGAGGAAGTCTGGCGGTGACGGTGTCCACTCACTTTGCTTTGGTTTGCGTTTGCGTGATAGGAGCGAACCCAAGAATTGAGTGGAGCAACAACTACACAAAAAAGACAAAGAAAAAGGAGTGGAACAACTATGCAGTAGTATGCACCCCGTTGTGTTTTTTTTTTTCTGACATTTTTCGGAAACTGGATGACAGGTGGTATAATGGTTTTGGAGTGGTGGGGGGACCACAACCAAGTGGCCAGGTGCTAACGGTGCTGCGCTGTGTTCGGACCACCTGGTCTAGCCATCCGGTCTGCCTACGGGTGGTGGTGAATATCTGCACACCGACATGGCAAATTATGGATGGCGTTTGAAACGCACCAGCTAGATGGCGCTAATAGACCTACGTGTGCGGATATGAGCACGCTGAAATTGCAAATGACAGTTTTTGTATGCTGGACTGATATGGCGCAACTCGGGTAAGAACTGACATCACACGGGGGTGTCTGTGTATTCTTCTGACAACGGGGCGAGAAGTAGGGGGAGGGGGGGAAGGAGATCCGGCGCGAATTGCACGCGGTTTGGATGAGGGGAGCTAGATATGTGCGGCTGACGACTTTGGTTGATGGGGCAATCCTCTGGACAAGGTTGGGAGATCAAAGCAATTGCAGTATCTGGGTTGTTGGACCAAGAGGAGGAGGAGGAGGAGGAGGTGGTGGGGCATGCCGATGCTGAGCGCGAGGACAAGGAGGAGAGCGGTAACGGTTGGCAATGCTTGGAACTGAAGAAATCAACGCAGTGAAAGGAATCGATCTGCTTACGTGTTATTCAGCACTGACAAGAGACAAGGATGCGTTGCGCTTGCCCTTCAGCTGGTGCGGTTTCCAGTCCGATTTTACTATATTTTGTTGATATCTCGTGTTGCGCGACTTGGATCGATCCGCGTGATCGTTAACTCAATCAAGTCGCAGTGAGGAATGACGTGGAAGGGGGACGTGTTTCGCGGAGAGCCTTGGGTGGTTCAACGTGGCGTCAGGAAACACGGACCGAGCAATCCCGTTCGCTTTGCGATCTCAACGTTTCGATTAGAGATCGTGTATTGAGGCTTTGTCGTTTTGCTGTAAGCCAACTGCAGCAGCCAGCAGTCAAAAGTGTGGAAGAAGCAGCAAGTGCAGCCCGAGCAGCAGCTGGGGGGAGAAAGAGGACGGCTAACGGAGGAGGGTAAGGGGGAGTGAGATGGCGGGAACGGGCCAGGAGTATGCCGCAAGGAAGAAGGCCAAGGCCTCGCGCAAACGACTCCGAGCGAAGCACGGCGATGTCGGGAATGAGACTAGTGCTGCCAAACGAAGACGCAGAAAGAAGCATCGCAGAGTCTGCGAGGCGATGTGCTACTCCCTGCCGACCCCAGAGAACCCATTTAACGAAGCCGAGCTGAAAGGGGTGAAAACCCCCTCAAGGAAGAGAAAGCCAACACCAGGAGCTATTGAAACGAGCGGTAAGAAGAGCGATGCGAAGAAGGCAGCAGTGACAAGAGGAGGATCGCGCACAGGGAGAGAGAGAGAGGAGGAGGAAGGGGAAGGACTGAGAGTGGGAGAACGAACTCTTCCAGGCAACGGCTGTGGCGATGGTGATGGAGTTTGGGATGGGGATGGGAAGCAGCAGCAGCGGAGGAGCATCTTCCCTCCCTTTAGAAAGAATCTGTGGCCATTTGGCCCTTCTGGAAAAGGTGAATTGCAGGGTATTGACGACAAGAGACTGCCATCGGATTTCCGGCGTTGTTTTTTCATTGCTACAGGTCAAATTAGGTCATACAAAGTGGGGGGGAAGTTGGGGGAAGGGCTAAAAGAGAGGGGCCTGCAGGAAGGAGGGGGGGTGGGAGATGGGGATGTAAAGAAGGGGAAACAGGGCGAGCCTTTGCTATTTGAACGCCGATGTTGGGAAGGATGTCTGAGAGGAAGAGATGTGCTAGGAGTCTTGCCGCCGCCTGCGCAGCGGAGTGTGCTCTTGTTGAACCGTCCCGACCGCAATACTTCCCCGACCATCTCCTCGAACTCGAAGAGGGATCCCTACTCCTCCGTCTCCATGTCTGAGCAGCATGACCCACAGTGCGGGACACTTGGCTTCGCAGAGCGGGAGTCCAGTGGCGTACTGGGTTATCTTCTACCCGCTGTTTTTCATCTTAAGGCGCAGCAGCCGGCAGTGAAGGCGGGAGAGGGACCTATTGCGCTGATTGTGGTGGCCACGGCGGAAAGAGCGCGGGAGGTACGTCGAGTCTGCAAGCCCTTACAAGATGTGATGGGGTTTCGCTGTGTCAGCGTGCATTCGCAGGCACCGATCGGACATCAGATCGAAGGGTTGGGATGCCAAGTGGTGGAGATGGTGGTGGGCACGGCAGCGCGCTTGTCAGAGCTTCTTCGGTGTGAGGGAATCCGACTCGGTCGAGTCTCCTTCTTCGTGCTCCATGATGTAGATGAGCTTTTGCAGACAGCGGATGATCAAAATCCAGCAGCAGAGCAGCTGAGCCAGATCGCTTCCGCTGTTCGTTCAGACAGGCAGGTGGTGTTCTTAAGTCGGAAATTTTCTGTGCCTGTCAATGTCCTGCTGGGGAAGTTGTGGCTTCCAGCCGCCGCTTCATCCAATCCTATAATAGCCCGAGCGGCCAATGAGGTGTCCAATTTGGCCATCGCTGTCGGCGTTACCCAGACAGTTTGTGTTTGTTCTCAAGAGAAGAAGACTGCCAAGATTGCGAGCTTCCTCGGGGAGATTAGAGAGGGAGAGAAGGAGAGTAGGGTGAAGAGCCGCACCGTAGTGCTGACCAGAGGGGAGGAGGTCATCGCTTCTATCGCTAGGGTTTTGAAAAAGGCCAAGCATCGGACCGAACTTGTCACCGAAGCTCAGATCAAAGCCGACCGTCTCTCTGCAATGAAAGCACAAGAAGTAGAAGAAGGCGACGAAGAAGGTGAAGAAGACGTCGACAAACAAGAGGGAATTGATGGTGGTTACGATTCCGATGTTTCTGAGGAAATGGGGGTGCGGCGGCAGCGGCAAGGGGAGCAGGGTGTGAAGAGGAGGACCAAGAAGAAGCAGTGCAGTAGAAGAAAACAGCTGAAGGTGACGAGAGTAGGTGATGATTTTCGGGTCGGCAGAGCTACGGTCCTGATTGCCACAGCTTCGGCACTCTCGAAGCTAGGCATGGATCTTGAAAGTGTCCCTTGTCTTGTGTTCTACGACTTTCCGGGCTCCTTTCAGGAGTACCTTTGTCAAATTAGTAAAGTTGCAAGAAAGACGGCCAGGGCGCGGATACACTCTCTCTTCACAAAGGAAGATGCACTACAGGCTGTTGATCTCGTCGCTCATCTTGAAGAGTGCGGCCAGCTGGTAGATGACAAGCTGCAGAAGATCGCCAACGCTGTTCTCACAGTCAGGAAACAGCAGCAGCAACGGTAGTCATTACAGCAACTAATGAATACAGCAGAACCGAACATATCACCGCAGGTGACACACACTCGGTGGTTTCACAGTACATCCAAACTTGAAAAACAGACTGTGGTCCTGAGAGTGAACGCGGGAGGGGGAAATGCACGGTGTTCAGAAATAGGGTAGGTAACTCAGGGCCAAAGCTACAGGATAGCAACCACAGGACTGTAGATGCTCACAGCTTAACAGTAGTGATCAGTCAATCTACCGGCTTCCTATACCCGTAGTAGGTATAGCTGCATACAGTATTGTAGGTGCACACAGCTCAACAGGGCTCAGACAAGCCAGTGATTTCCAATACCATCACTAGAGCTATAGTTGCATGCATCCTAGCAGTGCGCCGACACAATACTGCTTCCCTAAAGGTAGGTAGTCAATCGTAGAGTTGTTGGACCTGCAAGACTGGGTGACCCGGAGGCAAAGATGCAGCTTAGCATCTGCGGGACTATAGGGACACACATCTCAGCAGTGCTCAGATAACCTAGGCGATTCCATACCATCGGCAGGACTACAGAGGCAAACATCTTAGCGGTGCTCAGTCAATTTGTTGGTGTACTTCATTTTGTCAATCACAGGGACGGTGGACCCGCTTTCCAGCAGGTGCTGCTCCCCACCAATAGATGGAGCCTTCCTCGCACGCTCACTTAAGAGGGCTGCTCTTATCACCCCCTTAAGTGGGCTCCTGCCCTGAAGATTCGTGTAAACAACAACAACAACAACAACAACAACGACGACAACAACACACAATGAAACTCATATCCTAACCTATCACTGAAGCTCAGATCCCAGCCTATCACCGAAGCTCAGATTCCAACCTAGCATCGAAACTCAGTTCCTCGAATTATTACCTAAGCCCAGATCCTAACCTATCACCGAACACCAGATCCCAACCTATCACTAAACCTCAGATCCTAACCTATCACTGAAGCTCAGATACCAACCTATCACCGAAGCTCAGATACCAACCTATCACCGAAGCTCAGATACCAACCTACCACCGAGGCTCAGATCCCAACCTATCACCGACGCCCAGTTCCCCAAACTATTACCGATGTTCAGTTCCCCGACCCATTACCGAAGCTCAGATCCCCGACCTATCACCGAAGCTCAGATCCCGGACCTATCATCGTAGATCATAATTGGAGTAGAATGAATGAACTGTCCTTCTCAGGGAGGGACTAGGCCCAAACTTTCCTGGACTGTGTGCTTCTGGCCGTTGATCCTTGTTGTTGTGTTGTTGTAATCTTGTTTTTTTTTTGTGTGTGTGTTGTTGTAGTCTATGGTTGTTCCAGTGATTAAAAAAAAGGATCACAGAGAATATTAGCATGGCCCCTGCGCAAGGATGACATGCATAAACCGGGAAATCGTCCAACTTAAGGAAAAAAAAAAAAAAAACGAATGCACGAAAGTGGTCCCAGCAGGAGGTTAGAGGAGAGGATTAGAGAGTCCATAAACTTTGTATATCCTGCTTTACCCCTCTCGCCCCCAATCACAATCATCATGCAGTTGTTGCGAGTTTTTTTTATCCCTTTCCGGTTGTGGTGCGGGTTGTTTGTCATGGATATGACAAAGGGGTTGGGTTATCGTTGGGTTTATTAAATTTTATTTCCGGTTATGTTTTTTTCCATGGTTGTTGTTCCTCAGTGGGCCTGCTCCTGCTGCTGCTGCTCTTTTTTTTTATGCCCCTCAATGCTACTGTACCTCGTACCATGACTCCTACTGTCGGCCTGTGTATTGTGATCAGTCATCACTCGTTCCATCATCGACTTCTGACTCTTTTAGCTACCGTCTTCCCCTGACTATGAACATGATACATGAATGTGTACAAGCGATCTTTCTGGTCCAGTACATGCATGATGGTTGCTCTGCCCAGCGGTACATGCATGATGGGTGCTGCCCAGAAGTCTAATGACCTTCAGTAGACTCGCAGAATAGGGATTGACATACAGCGGTACGGGTGCGCAGGCCGTAGTTTCTGTTGATATGGTTTTTCATGTTCGGTATACACAACTCCAAGTGTGTGTGTGTGTGTGTGTGAGAGAGAGAGAGAGAGAGGGAGAGAGAGAGAGAGAGAGAGTCCTGCTGCATGGGGGGTGCGCAGGCCGTAGTTTCTGTTGATATGGTTTTTCATGTTCGGTATACACAACTCCAAGTGTGTGTGTGTGTGTGTGTGTGTGTGTGTGAGAGAGAGAGAGAGAGAGAGAGGGAGAGAGAGAGAGAGAGTCCTGCTGCATGGGGCGTGTCAGGGACCGGGAGCACCAGGGAAGGCACTAGCCTCCAAAAAGAAAAAAGAAAAAAAGTGAATGCTCTGTTCGAATATAAGAGTTTGTCCTTTTCAAGATTAAAAAAGCATATGCTTTGTGTTCGAATACAACACATGTATTTCATTTGAAAGTGCTGTTCTATTTGAGAAAAGTGGACTGACTGGTAAACCGCCACTCCCCCTAACAGCCGAAAAACCTCGGCCCTGTGAGTTAGGGCTGGGTTCTACGGAGGGGCGGCGGCCGTTTGTCACCGGTGGGTCCAATCCCGCCATTTGAAAGCCACAACTTTGATGATTTTTTGTGTTCAGAAGAATTCTTTTAAAATTCTGAAAATTTGAGGGTCCGCAGATTAGGTCGTGATCTTTCAAGGGAAGATATCAGAATAAGTAAATAAAATTATTTTGACCGTGAAATAATCACCGCGCCGATTCGGTGCATTTCCATTTTTGCCATTCACCTGGTTTTCTACTCTATGCTACTGGTACCCCTCGTGAAACGGCGCTACCGGTAGGAGGTTTTTTGTGTCGGCGGGAGTGGTGGTGTTCCAGGCCCTGGGGATGTGGAGGATGGTGGCGAATACAGGTCCCAGTTAACCGCATTTGTGAAGGACTGCCCGCTGCCCATAAAAGCCCCTGCCTTCATTTTTAACACCCTTCCAATTACCACTGGCCCTGTACGAACGACTGGTATAATGAACCAAGACAAAAATGACTCAGGTGTATAAAAGCAACCCTAGAGTCTGCGAACTCGGTCGCACCAGGACTTCTTTACTTATTTGCGTCCAGGTCTGGCAGAAATGCGGGCAGATACATTTCAGGTGCGGCCTCAAATACGGTCAGATACATTTAGGATATCGCTATAGTGTAATTGCATGTATACCACCACGAGGGAAGAAGCCACAGGTAGCCCGACTGGCTGCATGTAGAATAATGAATAAAAAAGTGCCCATAAAGTACTCCTGAAAAAAATACAAGCCTTGAAAGTTGTGGAATGACAGTGAAACCACCAGTTCTTGGCCCAGCTATCGGCCGCGGGCGATTCCCGTTAACGCGCTGGTAGTTGCGCGCTTCGGGGCACCGAACCACAACGGCTGGAAGCGCCGGCCAAAAAAAAAAAGAAACGGTTCCCCAGTGGCTCCGCAAAACTTGGTGCGCAGGGGATATCCCAGCTCGGCATCGATAGCTGGGCCAAGTACTGGTGGTTAAAAAAAAAAAAAAAAACCGGAACCTTTCCCACATATGCTGTGGGCAGAAAAAATGGCCCAGCATGGAAAGTGGGCCCCCGATTCATTTGACCAACGGCAAGCCGATCGCGCTTGGCTTTGGTGTCACCCGGCACGGAATATATTTTTGAGCGGTGTCTGAAAAGAAGGTGCAAAAAAATGCGCGAAAGGAAAGCAAGTGCATTTGCCCAGAGAAGCTGGCAGGATATAATCATGACTATTTGTAGCAATGGATGAATCTTCCCAAGTTAAGTGTGCCACGTGGGGAGGGCCATGATCTTTGATTAATGCGAATCTCAGGGGTCTCTGTCTCTCATCATCATAACAACTGTGAGAAACCTTTTGGACTGTTTCTAGTTTTCTTTTGTTTTTTTTACGGCATACTCACATGGAAGTATGGGGGCCTGGGTGGGAGAGCGCACCACGGGATAGGTCCACAGAGTGGCGTAACAGGGGGGCCGAAGCAGCTTGGGTGAGGCAAGGCGGGAGCATTGCGAGCGGGGGCTCGCAGGTGGCAGGCGCCGCCTCTGCTAGGTCACCTTCTCTCGACCTCTTCCATCCCTATCGTTCCTACCGTCTTCACCCGAAAAAAATGCTCGGATATTCGTTTATATCGCCCGGGCGTTATAATCAGTAAATTGGTGGCAACTTCGGTGGGGGCCCAAAATTCAGGAAAAGACAAATCAAAAGGTTCTGCAAAAACAATATGCCGTCCAGAATTGTAATGTCACCATCTTTCGGCTGAGGGTCACTAAGGAATTCTTTATAAACCCGGAAATAAAAAATAAAAACAAAAAATCAACCAAAATATGCCCCTTGCAAGTCAAAACCCCTTTAAATATCCTCTCCGCCCTTTCAAACCCATTTATACTACCTCTACAAAGTACTCCGCCCATGGAACATTTAAATATAACGCCCGGGCATCCTACTCGAATATAAGGCCCGGGGCCAAGTCCCACTAGCAGCGTTGAGTTTCCTCAGTGCCTGAATCTGGACGTGTTTGTTGAAATGTGTGGAAATCGTGTGGAGTTTCCTCAACCACACATCTCCACAAACACGTCTAGATACAGGTGTTGAGGAAATTCAACCATGCTAGTGGGGCGTTCTATTTGAGAAAAAGAGTACGAACGAAAATCTGATCTTTGTAGGGTAAGTTAAATATAACGCACGGGTGTTATGTTCGGGCGAAGAAAGTAGCTATCGGCCTGGACATGGTTAGGCAGGTGGTCTATGAAGAGAGTGCGTTGGGGTGTAGGTGTGGGTTGCTTGTAGGGGAATCTCTAGACTGTAATGGAGCCTGATCAGCTTTCGAAAGCACGTCTGATCTTAGTTACGGAGCCTTGTTTGTGATGCTTTTGGTAAATGACGATTTAGACGCTGATTGTGTGGATGTGATTTTAGTCATCGAGTTGGTACAGGGAGTGACAGGAGTATGATGGAGGCTAGAAAGGTTTACGCTCTTTTGAAACTGTTCTATCTTCTGCTGGTGCTGATGGTTATAGGTAGGGTGTTGACTTGTCGTTGTTTCTTTTCCGCAATTGCCTCTTTGAGCGGTTGCGCCCTATGTCGTCTGTCGTACGTAGTACGAAGGTTTCACCGTGTGAACTCAAACAGTCATAACAACCGTTTTCAGGGAGGCCGATCTTTGATGCATATGCCACAAAAAAATGAGCGAGAAAAACAAAAAAAACAAATGCAGGGTTGTAGAGCTCCAGAAGCTGAAAAAAAAAAAAGGAGCACAAAAACCTCTACGACTGCATCTGCTTAATTTAAATAAAGTCTTTATTTAGGTTTTTATAATAAAAACATCAACGCGAGCAGAAAACGAAAAAGAACAAAAAAGAGTGATTGATTGATCGAGTTAGTGATTGATTGAGGATTGGTTGATTGGTTGGTTGATTGATTGCTTGATTGGATGATTGGAAAAAAAAAATTGCGCGCATCAGCGCACGGCTGTGTGACGGAGGACAAGCGCTCCTCTCTTTGTCTCGCCCGCCGCACGTGTGCGCACGAGGGAGAAAGAGAGTGTGTAAGAGAGAGAAAGGGTGCGTGTGTGCATATGTGTGTGTGCGTGTCCCTCCGCATGTGCACGCATGAGGGAGAAAGAGAGTGTAAGAGAGAGAGAGAGGGTGCGTGTGTGTGTGTGTGTGCATGTGTGTTGTCATATTCGCTACACAGTGTATACACTCAAAAAAGCATGACTGTGCCAGTCTGTTTCGTCTTACTTTCACTGACTCATTAGGAGGTTGACTTTACTCGCACCAACCTTGCAATCCTAGCAGACTGCGGGTCCAAACCCTTGACAGGAACGGTAGTAAGTCTGCGAAACTAATCTGACACAGTCATAAAACCCACTCTACACACCCACTCAGCCATGGACACCCAATGGCATGACCGCTAGTACGGTCCCAATGAACGGAGAGCTTGGCAAGGTCGTGTTGTGAGTTGTGTTTGTGTGTGTGTGCATGAGTGCGTAGTTGTGTGTGTGTGTGTGTGTGCGTGGGTGTGCATGCTTGGGTGTGTGTGTGGGTGGGTGGGTGTGCATGCTTGGGTGTGTGCTGGTGTTGGTGTGCATGTGTGTCTGCACGTGGGTGTGTGTTCGTGTGTGTTTGTGTGTGTGTGTGTGTGTGTGTGTGTGTGTGTGTGTGCACGAACGAAAGGGTTGGGACCCCCTCCCTAAAC